ACTACATGTACCCACTGTATATTATGGTTTGGAGCTCACGATCAGGGTTAGACTGAAAGGTTCAGATAGTCAGAAGGTTCTTCCTTGGATATAGCACCATCTCATTGCTAGGTATAATAATAACTCCTCATGAAAAATACTTAAAAATTAGTTTCACTTAAAGGACTATTATAAACTTAGATAATTTTAAAAATTTCTATCTAAATAAGAATTTTTAGTGGGACTGACTAATTAAAGGCAAGGTAGAAGAACATTTTCATTTCTGTTTTGGAGTTCCTAAACATCAGTATTTGGTCCTGGAAATGGAGCCATGATTCTACATTTATAACCTTCTCTTAGTCTCTTTCCTTTGTAGAACTAGGCATGTTAGAAACACTCAAGTGATACGTGCCCTCAATCTTCTTCAGAATTCTCTTTCCATCGAAGAATCACATTTGCTAAGAGTGTATTTTAATTTACCTTAGATGCTGAGAAAAACAAGAAAAATGTTTTGTCTTTCTATACTGTTAACTAAGTGCTATGAGGTAAAATACAAAACAGAAACTGAATTCAAATATGTGATGCATAGTCACATCCTCAAGCTCTGAGGACCGATTTGAACCTGCTTACTGCTAAAAGGAGTGGGTGGGGATTGGGGTTTTGTAACAAGATCAAGGGAAAGCAGGCGAGTGTTTGAACTTGTTGATATATGCATTCATCTGTGCTTCATACTTTTACCTTCACAGTTGAAACATACAGGGCCCTAGCCTATGTGTCACTTTTAACAAGTTTACCAACAAGAATCACTTGTTTGCCATGTTGAGTTTAGAAGAATAAGCATAATTAGGAAGTAGCAAGAGCTCCGGATATTAGTCAGAGGACTGGGCATTATGCCCGATGTACTACTTAGTACCTTTCTGGGCTTCACTTTCTCTTGTCTTTAAAATGACAGATTTAGACAAATCTCTCAGGTTCCTTTCAGTTCTAAATCTGTGATTCTGTGATCCTAAGATCTGGTTGTTGTCATGAAAGTTAAGGAAGCAAATTTAGGGTTGATAGAAGAAAAAACCTTCCTACAATTAGAACCCTCCAAAAATGGAATGGGCTGCCTCATCTGCATCATGGGAGGTCTTTAAATAGATGCAGAAAGAATGCATTTTCAGGTTCAATTTCAATAAAGCATCAGTTCATTCAGTGGTAGGACCCCAAATGCTGAGCTGGAGTGACCCTTAATAAAGGCCATCTAGTCCAGTTCCTGCCTTTTGTAGATGAGAAAGCTGAAGCCTAGGGAGTTAAACAACTTGCCCAAAGCCACACAAGGAGTAAGCATTATAGATGAAAAACTATAGTCAGAGATGTAAAGGGACTCACTTGCCTGTAGTTACACAGGGAGTAGGTAATACAGCCAGAATTTGAAACCCAAGTCCCTGGACTTCAAATCTAGTTTTCTTTTCTCTATAAAATGCTGTATTTACAACATTCCCAGAGGAAAATGCAGCACCTCTTTTATGTTGATTTTTAGTTTTTCATTTATTTTTAAAATGCTTGATTCATTTTGCCTTTACATCACAGCCATTTCTAGACGGGAACCCCTCTCTAACCCTACAGAGTGAATCCTTTCTTGTTACCAAAAGTAATAAGAATAATTAAGCAAATACATGTGATACATTCACTGACAATTGGTAAAAATATTTTGTTATAGTAGGCTCCCCCCCACCCCCTGCCATTTTTCTATGGAGGAAGGAGATATTTCATTACCAATTTGCAAGTTTCTGTTTCTAAGCTAGTTGCTAAATCTTAGATGTAATAAATCAGAGATTAAATTATTCCATTTTGTATGTTTTTTACTAATGAGAAAACTGATGCTTAGAGGTGGTAAGTATAGCTCAGGTCATAGAACTCAGACTAGGACCCATATGTCCTCTCTGCTAAGGGCATGTATATCCCCTATACCTCACAGAAGTAATTGGGAAATGAGATTTGGAGATGTGTTCATAAAAAGAGTAAAGGGCTAGGAAGCAATCCCCCTAAAATGGCAACTCAGAAATTGTAACCTGAGTTAATGTATTCAAGGTCATTCTAAAATCTTTTCTTATGTTAAAGCTTTCTTTGACATTTTCCTACATTTCTCAAATTACTTTTTTAGTTGTTGGTAGGAAAAATTTACTTCTTGCTCCACCACCTCACCATGGCTTGAGTGAGGCAATACCAGAGTTCTACACAGTCTCCTTTCTGTAGTACAGAAGGCCCACTTTGTAAAGTGTTTCTCTAGATCAATTTTAGAGGTGGTGCAAATAGTAATCGTAATTTCACTTTGCGAACAAAGGAGGCCTTTTCAAAATCCATATCATAGAATTAAAAGACGTGGACCTTTTATATAAACAACAGTCAATAGTTATAGCTCTTGTGAACTGCTGTCCAAATATGGTCTTACACGTTGACACAATGACCCTTAAAAGCAAGTCCAGCCTTATAGGAGTGAACTCCTTACCTTAGTAAAGATTTTATCTATATCACACATCTAGAAGAACTTCTTTCTCCACTGACAAATTCTAGAGCCTATTTAGTTTATTCTCAAACACAGCCTACTTTGTCCTGTTTCATAAAGTTTTCCATTATTATTATTATTTCCATCATTTTGCCTGTTTGGATGCTGGAAGGTTTTTAAAGGCATTGTTATTGTCACAAAGTGGACCAGCCACTTCAATCTAGTTCAAGAGAGCTGAGAGCTCTACTACAGGGCAGTAGTCTTGGTAATATCTGGAAACATCCAAGAAAATTTTCCTAACCTAGGAAAAGGATGATATTTACATTATTGTACTTCACTCATTTTCATTAAAACACACAGACACACACACACACACACACACACACACACACACACACACACACACACACACACCCCTAACATGTATGTCCCTTTTGGTAGCATAGAGGACTCTAGAATGTTACTGTTACTGTACTACCTATATACATGTAGTACCTGCTCCAAAAGTCTGCTGAGTAGGGTGGCTGATGGTAGAGTGGAACTGGATATGGTTTGGGAGATTGGGATTAGATAAACTAAGTAGGAGGCCAGGCAAAAAAAATTATGCTATCAAAATGTTTATGTCGATAGCACTTTTTTTCTTAAACCTCTCCAGATGAATAGGTGTTATACTTTTCAGGCACAAATATTGATCCAGTACACTTTAATACATATTTTGATTACAGTTGTTAGAATAGGAAAAAATATTTAAACCAATCAGTGATGATCTTTATTAATGATGTCAGATTATTTAAAAATATATTTTGCTCTGTAGTGACTCCTAATGATGGGAATAATAAATAAAAATCTACTTTTATCATTAAGATCCAAAGATGTTATTAAAAGTAATTTCCAACACAAAGGACTGGCAAGAAAATAATTACTGTGGATCCAATAGCAGATTCTCTAAGCCCCCATTCCGGGCTTTTTGTGTTGTTTTGGTTGACGCTTGTAAAACATGTTTATAGACTATGTCAGCAATGTTCTTCCCCAGTTGCTGTTGCAAAGACTATTTTTGCCGTTTATCACAAAATGCCAGATTTACTCAGCATGTAATTTAATCTTATGCTTGGAAGCTTCCGTGTTACTTAGTTATCATGAAATTATTCTTTAATAAAAATGTATGCTTTGTGATCTATATTTTATTAATTTGGAAAGTCACTCTATCGATTGTCACAAATGCCATGAATGTATCATTTGTCACAGTTATTGGTTGCCTGTCAGCACCAGAGAGTACTTGGCTTGTGGGGCTTCTTAGAAATGTCTGTCTAGATCTGTAAAGGAAAATCTTTTGTATTGTAACTTGTTAATAAAAAGGCTGTTTATATCATCACTCTTTTCCTTGTACTGTAGCATATTTGTATAATAACTCGATTTTTGCAAAAATGGGTGGCATATGAAGGAAGATCAGGGATTGGATTCATGAACGTTTTCTAGAATTGTGCATTGAGTTACACATTAGGTCTCCTTTTGTTTTCAAAACTCAAGTAAATTGTGGTAAATACAAACATTATATATGTGTGGGGGTTTGTATGTGTGTATCTGTGAATGTGTAATATAGATCTGTACATAAAGATTGGATTTGTCTGTTCTAAACTGGCAAGCTTAGAAAAAATGTATTGGCAGGTTTTTGTAGAGCTAGCTTATTAACCATGAAGTTTCTTAAAGAGAAGCAAACTCCTTCTGGAAACTCAATTCCTAACTTCTAGGCCATAGATATAATGTGTTAGAATAATAGCATTTTATTTCAAACTACTTGTCTTTCCTAAGATAAGGAACGTATTATTTATTTCACAAGACCATTATTTAATCTTGTAAATTAACCACTGGGTTAAATTATTTTTTTATTTTAATATTTGTTTCAAAGGAAAATTGTATTTGTAATAATCAACAAGAGGTGCTTGTACAGACTATTCACGTGCTTATGTTTTGATTATGAAATGGATGACAAAGTGTGCATTGGGATCTCTGGACAGTAAGCTCGCCAAGGGACTGCGCAGTGCCTAACATGTAGCTATTTACTATAATAGTATTCTAACGAAGTCCTCCTAAGCCTGAATTTTGATTGAGGGGTGGGGGTAGTTTGGGTTTTTTTGCTGTGAGAATGGCCTTTGGGAACTTCCACCTATGTTTACCTCTCTCTGACACCTAGGGGCAAGAGGAGCCTCTCCACTTGAGGCAGCCCTTGGGCAGCCTGTGTCCTCCTCACCCGTGTATATGGAGTTTTTTCCATACCTGTGCTTGCTGTGTCCCATGGAGCCAGACATCTCTTCCCGCTCCTTCCGCCCATCCTGGGACTCCAGACTCCCCCCACCCCCATCCTAGGAGAAGGTGGGGTCCCTCACAGCTTGCGATGGGCGGGGCCAGGAACCTTCCTTCCCTTCCCTGACTGTCACCTCCCTCCTTTCCTACAGGGTTTTGGGGGGGGAGGGAGGCGGGGGACATGTGTGTTTCAGGCCCCGCCCCTGGCCTTGGGCTGTCGGATTTACTGGGGAGGTAGGAGGTGGTTGGATGGCATCCAGCTGCAGCGCCCGATGAATGGCCAGCCTGGAATGCTTATGCCTCCTCATTGGTTCATAGCCTCCCTGCTTCATAATTTCCTGAGCCCTAGCATATTCTGGTTGAAAAACTGAAGGTGGGGATGCAAGGTTTGTAATCCTTTTTTCCTTTTCCTTGAATTGTTCCCCCAAATGAGGCTCTGGAAGGCTGGTCTCGGCTTCCTGCAGGGCCCCAAGCTTGCTGTAGGTGGCCGGCTGCGGGGCTGGGAGAGGCTCTGGACGGGCCAGGGGTGGCCCGGTGCGGAGCCCAGCACGGGGCAGGATCCCCCAACCTCTCAATCGCCCGCCACAGCCGCAGCCCTGAGCCCCAGCAGCCGCAGCAGCGCCGGGCCCGATAGGGCTAGGAGAGACAAGAGCAGAGAGAGGCTGTTGCAGAGGGGAACCTGGTACATGTAGAGCCAGCGCTGAGCTGTTCCCGAACCGGCCTGCTGCTTTCTGCCTCCCTGAACTCTGAGGCTTGGGATGCTTTGCCTAGAGTGACCCAGGCCAACTTGCTTGCTCCTGGAGATTCCGGGATGCGGGAGTATTTACTGTGTCTGTGGTCAGGCTCTGCTTGCTGAAGGGATTCTTTGTTGTAGGAATAAAAATCATTTATGTAAATACCCCAGAGGGGAGATACAAAGGCTATTGTTCTTCCAAGTTTGTGCCCTGAACCTGCCTCTAGGCAAGACTTCGAGCTTCTGTGCCCCTTCCCTGTCTTTTGCCTGGAGAAGGAAAGAGAGAGTGTCTTCCTAAAATGGTCAATGCCAGCGGCTCTCTGCTGCTTTACAAAGATAATGGCAAGCAGGGGCGGCGCCATCCTGAGCCAGGCCAGCTTCTCAGCCTTGCTTTCCAGGTGGACTGATCAGCATGGCAGCCAGTCCTGGGCTTCCTGCTGCCACCCCTGCTCCAGCTGCGGGATGGGCCTGGGTGCTCATAACTCTTTCGGTGGATCTTGTCACTGGCATTTGCTTTCCCCTGTGGTAGCTGGTATCAGTGACTAACACTGAGATTCTAAAGTGAAATTTGTCAAAGCGGTCCTATGAAATGCCATCCAAAGCCTGGGTTTCATCGTTTTCCTTCTGCCGGAGCAAAATATATTCAGCAGATTTGTTTCGGGTTTACGGAAAAGATACATTTTACACTTTAATGTAATTGCAGCAACAGCCTTAAAGGTAGGAATGAATCCCAGGACTTTGGATTTTTATTTGGAAACAGTTGGGCGAGTCTGGAGATGCCCCTCCCTGACCTGTTGAAAATATTCAGCTTAACAGTTGGAAAGACATAGAACCTTGTGGTAAACTTATTTAAAATGGAAGATTAAAAAAAAATTCACCTCCTTTGTTTGTTCCTATATTCCTACCTCCCAGAGACCTCCTTTGAAGTCCTTTTCCACCGTTGCTCTTTGTGAGTAATTTCAGAAAGCCTCTATGACAGTCTTAAGTGTGTATATTTTTCCGGCTAAATTTGCTCAGTTCCCAGCATCAAAAGATAACCCCTTGATCCTTGGTTAGTTTTAGACATGCAAGTGTTTTTATAATTACTTTATTAAGCTTGCTTTTTAGACCAATTTTTGCTTTCTCTGCCGCTTGTTTATTTAGACCTCTACAATTCAAAGTTTTAACTCCTTAAATTCTGAGTATTCTCTTATTCACTTAAATTTATTTACTTAATATTATAAACAAAACTCATTATAATTCTTATTATATTTATGCATTTTTAACCAAATATATTCAAACAAAATGGGAAAATCAATTTGACAGCATAGTCTGCCATAATTTCTTCTTGGGTTAAGGCTTACTGGTCTCAAATATTTCATGTTAAATATTTTAATGAAAAATAGCCTGAACAGATAGGCTTTTTTCTTTTTTTGAGAATTTTTAAATGTGGAGATTATTTTTCGTTTTTTGTGGGCTTATGTTAATGGTAAATGCAGAGATGATTAAGAATGTCTTTGGGATGATTAGAACCTAGTAGAAAAGATAAGACTTGCAATAAATAACTTCATCTTAGGAAGATCTAACTTCAGAGTAGAGAATGAATTGGAGTGGGAGTAGGGTATGGGGACGGGACTTGAAGTAGAGAGAACAACCAGCACGCTATTGCAGTAGTCCAGGTGTGAGATAATGAAGTCTTGCACCAGAATGGTGGTAATAAGCATGAGGGGAGAGAAAAAGGTCATATAGGAGAGATGTTACAAAGGTCTGGTCATATCACACACTGCTGTGGGCCACCCCCAGCCCCCAAAAAACTCCAGTGGCTCCCTATTGCCTCCAGGAGCAAATACAAATGCTCTGTTCAGCATTTAAAACTCTTTATAACCTAGCCCTCTCCTACCTTACTCCTTGACACATACTCTGATCTAGTGACACTGCCCTCTTGGCAATTCCGGGAAGCTGTACCTCCTCTTCTCCAACTACTGACCTCCCTTGCTGGGATAAGTCCCAACAAAAATCTCTTCTTCAAGAAGCCTTCTTTAGCCCCTCTTAATTCCAGTGCCTTCTCTCTGTTAATTAGTTCCTATTTTTCTTGTTTATAGCTTGCTTTCTATATATTTATTTGCTTATTGTCTCCCCCTTTAGCTTCTGAGTACCTTGAGGGCAGGGACTATATTTTGTCTCTTTGTGTATCCCATGTGCGTGGTAGGCAGTTGATAAATGTTTGTTGATTGATTGATTGATTGCAAATGTAGAAAGAAAAAAAAAGGCTTGGCAACTGATTGTTAAGGAAGAGGAGTAGAAGATACCTAAGTTTCAAGTCTGGGCGAGTGGGTGAATGGTGAAAAGACAGAGATGAAAGGAATGGAGTCTTGTGTTGGGAGTCACATGACATCAACTAATACTCTACTAGGAAATTCATAATATTCCCTTCTATTGCTTCCAGTCAAAATTAGCACTAATGTATGATAGTTTGACAATTAAGATTTCCAAAGAGAAAGATATATAATTTTGGAAGGGGTATCTTGGGAATATCTAATCCAACCTGGTTAGCAGTTCCTTCTGGTTTAGTTTCTCAGTTTTCATGTATTCTTTGTTTTTGTAATACTGATTAAAATAAAGAATAAGGCCAAAAAGAACTGTTAACTTCAAGGAGTTAGGAAGCATTTCCCATGGGCAAATGAAGATACCTCTTCCTCTAAGTCCCGTGGGATCCATTAGTTCTTAGATTTCTCTATCCTATCTGTTATTCAGGGTGGCTCTAATACAAACAGTGAGCAACCTGTGTTCAATGTCAGGGGCTTGGATTACATTAACCTCTGGAATTCTTTGAATTACTATAGTATACTGAAGAGGAAAGATCAGCATGTGTTAGCACACTGCTCTAATTAACTCATTGTCATTAAGCTTCAAGGTCTCAGAAAGTTATTACTCTGGCAGGAACCAGGAAAATTGTTCTGTACTTTTTTTTTTCTTAATGTGTAATTCAGTTGTATGCTTCTTAGTCATGCTTGGCTTTGTGTAATCTAAACATTAAATGTTCATGTTAACTAGCTAATAATCTTAGAACAAGAAAATCAAACTAATATTCCATTTGGAAATGCATAGAAATCAATTTGCAACAATGTTCTAACTAAATTAGACATATGAAAGATCAGAAATTATCATATGGATGAGGCAGCTGTGAGACTGCCATCTTTAAAAGATCATGGAGAATGATAGAGGCACCACAGAACTACAGAAGGGCAAATATTCTGATTTTCCCTCATACTTCCCTACCTCCAGAAAGGGAGATCTATAAACTCCCAGTTAGCTTGATTTTAATTAATGAGCATGATTTCAATACCTGTCAAGATTTTAGAATGTTTTACCTAGAGTATGGTTAGTGAGCATAGAAAAGGAAAGAGGGATCACAAAGAACCACCATGGTTTAATTAAAAGCAGGTCATTCTAAACAAATCTTATTTCTTTTTTTGATAAGATTACTAAACCAAGGGGTTAAGGGGATGCAATAGGTATAGTTCGCCTAATTGTTAGACTGAAATAAAATAGGGATACTTGGGTTCAAAAAACCAACTTTACAAGTACAGGATGGAGAGGCTTGGTTAGAGATCAGTTTTCTGAAGAAGAGCTTGGGGTTTTAATGGATTGTAAACTTAATGAATTTGCAGTATGATGTGACAGGCCCCCCCCCCCAATTATTTGATCCTGGTCTTCATTGAGAAACACACAGCTTTTAGGAAAGAAGAGGAGAGGGGTGGTCCCACTGTCCTCTGCCCTAGTCAGATCACATCTGGAGTGTTGTGCTGAGTTCTGGGAGCGACAGCTTTAGAAGGACATTGATAAATTTGAGTCTCTAGAGAAGGGCATCTAGAATGGTGAAGGGTCTTGAGTCTATGTCATAAGAAGTTTAGTTGACGGAACTAGAGCTTAGCCTGGAGAAGAGACAATTCAGGAAGGACATGATAGCAGTCTGAAGGATTTTCATATAGAGGAGGAATTGAATTTGTTCTGGTTAGATCCTGAGAGCAAAACTCTGAGCAACAGGTAAAAACTGCAAAGAGGCAAATTCAGGCTTTATATCTCCCTATAACTAGAGCTTTCCAGAAGTGGAATGGTGTGCCCCTCTCCCCCACCAATCTTGGAGATTTTTAAGCAGAGGATGGATGATCACTTTTCATCTGTATTATAATGGATATTCCTTTTGGGCACAGGTTAATAAAAATAATAATAGCTAGCATTTCCATAGCGCTTTTTGTAAAACACTTTGTACAAGTATTAACTTATTTGATCCTCACAACAGTCTTTTGAAGTATGGTACTATTATTACTCCCATTTTACAGATGTGGATGATGTTGGTTAAATGACTTGCCCAGGGTCACATTGCTAGTGTCTGAGGCAGAGATTTGAACTCTGGTCTTCCTGAGTCCAAGTCCTATACTTTATGTACTGTGCCATCTCCTCTGAGATCCTTTCCAACTCTCAAATTCTATGATTCTGTGATTCCTAGGATTATAGATTTAGAGCTAGAAGGAACTTTGGGAGTTATCTAATTCAAACCTCTCACTTATAGATGAAGCCTAGACAAGTTAAATAACTTACTGACATCACACGTTGTCTCTGGACAGTATTTGAACCCAGTTTCTTTGACTTAAAAATCCAAGACCCTTAAAG